AAAAAAAAAGATAGGTCAGCGCTCGTTGATGCAACATAGTCAATATCACAAAGATATTACAAAGGCAGCTTTACACATAATAAGTAAGACAAATGTGAGTACAGTTATCCAATTGAACTCTGGAAAAAACCAATTCGAAGATTTGATTTTGGGGTGCCGTTTTGTAGAGTTACTACTATTCGTCAATTGACCAATATAATCTTAAAAATAATCAGTGGTTTAAAAATCTCAGATGCATTGATTAGTGCAATTCCACGCTCATGCCCAGATATACGCACTCTCATTCTTGATCGAAGTGATGGTTTTTCTAATATACCAATTATAGAAATTGCGAGATTTTCTCCAAAACTACAGCATCTGAGTCTTAATTCATGTATATGTTTCGCTAATCGATGTATCACTGAAATAGCACGTTCTTGCCCAAAACTTAAACATCTTGAGCTTGGCAACTGTTCGATTGTTAATAAAGCTGTTGAGGAAATAGCCCGCAACTGTACTAATTTGAAATATCTTAGTTTGGGATTAGCAAAGAAGTAATGAAAAAATTCAATCCAAAAATTAAAATCGAATATCCTGATTATTCAGATGATAAATGGTCCGGTTCTCACTCACCCCTACATATTCCACTCTTTAGAGGTTCATCATTAGATAGAACGGATTTAATTTCTGCAATCAGTAATTGTATCAGAGAGATTGGCGGGATTAATCCTAATCATTCATCATGGTTTACAAATAATTATATTTAGTAGTGGAGAATGGGTAATTATTTACCGAGTTATTTTTTCGGTTATAATATACACTACCCGGACAAAGTCTCGCACATCGAAAAAAATTTAATTACACAAAATTATACATAATAATAATATGTCAAATTTTAATATAACGTTGTTTTGGTTTTGAACAAACGCGTGTATAATTTTCGTGTTGTTTGTAAACACACATCAGAATATATAAATAAATTCGCAATAACTTCTAACCTTTATTGATATGCCCATTAGTAAAAGTAGACGGTAAAATGAATAGATTTGACTACATACAAATACTTAAAAAGCATTTATTACCTTTGATAAAGGAAGAATTTAATTGCAGAGGGTATTGGTTTCAAGATGATAATGCTCCAGTCCATACTGCTGAAGATGTTAAGAAATGGATTTTAATGAACAAAATCAAAGTCTTATCAGTTTGGCCAAGCCAGTCTCCTGACTTGAATCCAATTGAGCATTTATGGTTGGAGCTGGAAAGAAGAATAAGAAGCAAACCACAGGCAATAACAAATCTTGGCAGAATTAGAGACAACATTACAAGAAGAATGGGGCAAGATTTCACAAAGTCGAGTAATGCTTTGATAGAAAGTATGCCATGGAGAATAGAAGCTGTTATTGCAAACAATAGGTGGCCAACAAAATTCTGATTTATATAGTTAGTTCATTGGTTAAAGTATTATCAGTTAAAATTTGAAATGTAATTATTATGTATAATTTTGTGTAATTAAAATTTTTTGATGTGCAAGACTTTTGTCCGGGTAGTGTATATCATTAAATAATATTTGACATGGTTTTCATGAAAACACTCGTAGAAGGAAAAATCCCAGTAAAAGCGTTAATTGATACATCGTCGAAGTTTAATACCATTAGCAAGAGCTTGTTCGATAGGCTTGAAGAAGATTATGGAATACGTGATCCTGTTGAGAATCTCTATGGAGATGTAATAGGTGAAATAAAATGCTTAGATTTGCAATTTCAGTAATTTCAGTATAAAGGAAAGTGGCGAAGCTTAGATTGTACTGAAGTAATAGATTTTCAAATTCGCAAAAATCCATCATTTTGATCTGGTATTGGGGCAAGATTGGTTATGGATGCGCGAAGCAAAAATTATCTTTGGATTTTCTCTGGAAAATTGTAAGCGTTATGCTAAAATTGAGATAGATGTTAAGAGTATCCCATTAATCAAAGAAGATACCAATAAAGCCAGCTCTGTTAAAAATGACCCACATAAGTCCGATTTATCGAAGGAGGAGATCACGAATATGGTCAAGAAAATTCTCTCAGGCGTCCAAGATAGGGGCAGGCCCCATTGCTTTGCGAAAAGACTCATCACGGAATAATTTGCAACATACCTCATGTACCTCCAACACCCAGAAGATTGGATGATAGGAGCGATGTCATGTGTTTTAAATCTGCAAATCAGAGATCAGCATAGAAGTATTTCGGAGAAATGACATAGTCTCGTGGAACATGCGTAGCTGACCGTCTTCGGCAATTGTGTAAATCGGGAGTATCACTTCCATACACAATTTCGGACGTAATGCCAATTCTCGATCACATATAGCATCAATATCAATACAACGCAACAATTCCCGAAATACATAAGCAAAAGTAAATCGAGCCACTAGGCCATTTTATTAATGCGGTAAAAAATAAAAATAATATACAGAATAGAAATAAAAAAAAAACAACTATTTTTGATCGAATCGTGTTGGCTTTCCTTTCCTTGGCTTTGGTGAAGATAGTCTATATGATGATGGCGAAGATGGTGGTGATTTAACAGTAGGACTTGGTTGAACATTTCTGGGTAGACGGGAAATAGCTTGTTCCAACGCATGTAATAGTAAACAATTACTATATTCTGTATTTTGTAAAACTCGATGTTTTAATTAGATAATTATAGCAAATCAAACAAATATTATATATCTAAAATATAAACATACCCTTAATAAACGTACAAGAGGTCTTACTCGCCACGGTGTTCTTGATGTGAGAGAAATTTCTGCGTGGTCGACATGAAAGTAGCGAGATAGACCACCAGAATCTTTTACAAGAACATTTAAATATACATTCTCCCAGATACCTGAATTCCTACTATGCCAAATTGGTTGCTGAGTGGTCTACATGCCAGGTTAACAAAACTTATACCATC